TCTGAGATTCGATAACGCGGTATTGAGAAGCCTGTCAGTTTTTGTAAATAATTTCAGAGCTCTATCCAGATTGGTTGAGATGAGTTAGTATAATTTTAATGAACTTATTAAAAAGAGTGTATAACTTTTGACAGAATCTTTTCAAATTTCTTCTATATTTTTTAACAGCTGTTTAGAGTGTAGGGCACCAACGATGATACCCCTTCACCAAAAAATATTAATAAATAAAATAAATATGATACCCCTTAATATTTTACAAAGAATTTCTTGATTTTAAAAAAAAAACACAATAGACCACCTAAGTTGTCATTTATAATTTCTATTTTATAATTATGTTTATTATTTCTCGAACACAACTACTTAATATATAATTATTGATAATAGTTTTTTAAATAAGACTATTAGATTACCATATGTACATTATAATTCTCGATTATTCCATTTGGCAACATAATTAACTGTCACATTTCAAAAAGCCTCTACTTTAAGCTGGCTCTATTGTAGATCTTTTTTTTTATTGTAGATCTACTGACGTATCTATACATGATTTTATTGCGTCAGTAGTGTTTGCTGGAACAATTTGTTTTTTCAGCTTCTTGTTGTTAGATTTTTGCCACTTAAATAAACTCAAGAACTATCGCAACCTACAATAAATCGCTAGTTGCGTGATCTTGTTGGCAATGAGTTGCTGCGGTCGTTGGTTGCTTCTATTTTGCTTGCACATTGGCATGCGATTCGCAACTATTTCGACAATATTCCTCTAAATAAATACACACTAACAACAAGACACGAAATTTTTAGAGATACATTCGAGTGTATAATAAAATTCTTAAAGCGAAAAAGTTTTAAAGCCAAAATGAACAAAGAAAATACTTTGAAATACATTGACGACGATCTCTCATTGTCACACAATGACGTTAATAAGAAACATTTGCATAAAATGGAGGTTGATCAAGAACATTTGGCTAACAATAGTTTCTTGTTCTTGTTGTTGTTGTTGTTGTTGTTGTTGTTGTTGTTGTTGTTGTTAGTTTACTTATGAACAGCCAAAATTAACTAACAATAAGTACGATGATTGCATATAAACAATTATTGTTCCATATTGTTTTTAAATTTATACATAATAAATTTTGTTACTTTCAGAAATCTTATAAAATTGTATCTATTATGATTGTTAAACTGTCTGAAAATATTTAAGGACAATTTAATCCTAACGTTTATAATCGTATTATATCTCTATATTAGAGCAAAGCACCTAGTAATCCAGTTCCTTATTCTTATCTAATTTTAAAATTAATTTTAATGTTAACTCACAAATACATAAATAAAATCTCTATATCTATCAATATCATATGTCATTAGATATATATAAATATGAATATGAATGATATAAATAAAGTATAAGTTTATTAGATTAAAAAGAAAGGATACCACAAGTGATCATTCGTGGTTTAATTTTTTATAAAACAACCTTCGCTCTACTAAACAACCATGGGTTGTATATAATGAAATTCGTAGAGTTGGCAGATTGTGGAAGACGGCATATACTCAACACACGTACTTTATACATTGCAATCAGAAATGGTCTTTTTTTCAGTAGGTCGAAACCCGCAGTATGAGACTTGAACCCACTTAAACCACCTCTTTGGAATTAATGGAAAAAATGTCTACAACAGAAACTTCATTCCAGTAATTAAAGTACAGAGATTAGAGCAAGAGGCTTAATACCTACTAGCCTAGATTTATTTAAGCCAGAAAGCATGGGTATGTATGAGGTAGACTGGGAATTAACGAAGAGGTCGGGATTATTGTACAAGCGCGGGGGTAAGGTTAGCTACCATATAGAATGATGTAGTCTTCAAAAAATGATTAAGATCAAACTATTAAGATCACTACATCCTAACGTCATAAATCTAGAGTAAGGTGTTGTTTATGGAATACTAAAAGTAAGATTTAAGTGGTTTTATGCTTATTATATAGTTCAGTAATTTCAATATAGCATTATTATTTAAATATTACAGATCTATCCGAACACTATATATTTAATATCTGTTTATCTATCTTAATCCATTACAATACACCAGATACTAGGGAGTAGTTTAAATTTTTGATTTCTCTAAGCGGTTCGCAATCGAAAACACCCAGTTGGGTTCATCAGTCAACAATTCAATTCATGGTGTTAGTTTATATGCTATATAGATTAGCTTCATAAGAAAGAAATAACAATCGGTGAATACTTATTGTAACTAATAAGATTGTTTCATTTAACGATTCGCAAAAAACACAATCCCATTTGATCAAGAAAAAATGTTCTTTACCTTGCAATGTACGAAGTTAAAAATTTCTGAAAATCATATATATGTAGTATCATATAGTCATATAGTATCATTATTTGTGATAAAGTGAGGTTTGGTGCACTAGGCTACCACTCCAAACTAACCTAATCTAAAAGAGTGTGTGTTGTTTGAACATACGTTCTTGAAAGTGTATGATTTTGAATACTTTGTGAATAAGTAAGTAAACACAGTAGCATGGTGCTGCTGTACCATGCTAAAACAATTGCTTTTTGTATTATAGTTATTTAATATTAATAAACGAATCGATTTCTGTTAGAGTGTATGCTTGCGCCCAAAAGCGTGTTTTATTACTGTGTTGAAAATGTATAACGTATGTAACTGGCATTACACAATTACGTGCAATAAGCTGCTTACATAGCTTATAAGCTGTGTGAAAGCACTTGACTTGCTGTACATCCCTGATATAATCGCAAAATTTTTTTATAGACAGTCTGCGGAAATTTCGCGAATTGAATATTAAATTTGTTTATTTTAGTGATTTAGTTTTAGCAAGTACGTACTGAAAATTTTTTTTGATAACATATTTGTTTTTAATGTTGAAATTCCACAAACCTACAAATTTATTTTCTAAATTTTTTTTCTTTTTATTTGGCACTACAGTCTAGTGTAAACCTCCCTCACGATCTGCCTGCATCTATCCCGATCTTCTACTAATCTCTTTTAGTTTAGTACTCCAATATTTCTTGCATCACCATACATATTCTCATCCCATCTTGTTCTTGACCTACCTACCTCTATGGCTGGTTGTCATCGGCTTTGTGTTGTATATGCTGCTCGGCTTTCTCTCCAGTTTCATTCTTACTACATGAGCAGCCCATTGTAAAAATTATTGAAAATCAAAATATATTGAGTTAAAAAACAATGGTTTTTTTTGTGCATCTAAAACTATCTTTCATTAAAAATTCACTGCATTCTTTTCCCCCCATTTATGCGTCGCAAATGCTTATCAGACATGTCATAATATTATTTTCTCTAAAAATTTAATTAAAAATATTTTCATTTAACCACTGAATTTGACAATATTATATTCAAGGGCTAGTACATTACATTTCAAAACTAGAAGTACATAAACCTTTCATAAATGTTTGCCAACAATTTTTGCTGCACTTAAATCTGATGCACCTCCAGAAGAACCACAATAAATTGCATTTTTCTATTAAATAAAAAGTTGTTTTTTGCTCTTCAAGCTGCCCACTACAATATGAGAAAAATGTAATTGTTTCCCTTCAAAATGCCATAAGGCTTTGTTGTTGTTATTGTTGCTATTGTTGTTGTTGTTGTTGTTGATTTGCTGCATTTCGAAAATGAATCTGCATCTGCAACTGCTTTAGACACTTATTCTACACCTGTACTTGTCGCTTGTATTTAGGCGCCGCATGTATTGTACTTTTAGGTATCTTCTTTGAAATCATCCTACAATGGTAGAACATTCAAAGCATTCGCAAGCTTTGAACGATTTAACAACAAAAATGCTACAACCTTGCCGCCCACCCACATTGTTGCTTGTATATTGCAATACACAAACAAACATCCATACATACACAAACGAGATTACTCTCGAAGCCCTCAAATGCGTATGTATTTGTTTGTATCTATGTGCACTTGTATCTTTGTGTGAATGTGTCGTCTAAATGAATATTTTGCGGCTTGGCTTTGTTTTTGTCTTTTTTTGTGTTGGTTTGTTATTGTTTTTTGTTTTTGTTTACGTCTTCGTAGGTTTTAACATGCTCTTATTTTACGACTTAAGTGGGGTGCAGACTATCATACTGGTATGTCATACGAGAGAGAAAAACGTCGTATGACACACAGGTATGATAGTCTGCCACCTTTACCAACGTGTTGGCGTGCTCACCAAAATTTTGGTGAACAGCTCTCGCATACGCGTTGTGTATGATAGTCTGTCACCCCTAACGATTCATACGTCATACAAGAGCATTTTTGCCTTGCAAATTTATTGTAAGCAGGTGGAATATGTAGAATTATAATATAAATTTAATATGTTTTATATTATTTTATTATTAATGTATTTATTATTATTATTAAAATTACACTTATAAATTTGTGTTAAATATTTAATTGTATCTTAGTTAAAAAAAATATAAATTTTTACATAAAATTCTTATAAAAAATTAAAATACAATTAAATATTTTATGTAATATATTAAATATTTTGTTTAATTTATTAAATATTTTATTTTATTTTATTTTAATTTATAAACGATGATTATAAGTAAAATTTTTTTTAAAAAAACATCTAAATATAAACATCGTTAAATTTATGATCTAAGCCCAGTAATAAAAAAACATATTGAAAATTGGTCGTAATAACAATTAATTAATAACCCAAATTTAAGATATAATACTTTGTATTCTAAATATGCTTTTCTTGTTATTAAAATAAAAGAATTTTAAATGTTAATAACCTTTAACTAACAAATATATGGAAATGATCAAATTTCTTCAAAAACAATGAAGATATATACATTCTTATGTATATATATATATGCATTATTTATGATCTATTTATGAAAAAT